ACTCTAGTACTGATTACCTCTTCCGGAGGTTTAGTCCGATGCTCATGTAAGCCCTACGGCCCTAATTAGTGCGTGAGGGAGGAACGCTGAAATTGTGCTGGTCTGTGCTCGCAGGTAAAGAGCTTTGAACATTCATAAACAAGAAGACTGCGCGGGGCTAGTAAGGGTTCAGACACCTAATCAGGCACCCTCTCTTTTTCTATGGTCGTAATAAACAAATATATACATACATACATGCATACATACGCACATACATACATACATACATACATACATACATACATACATGCATGCATACATACATACATACAAGCATACACACACATATATATATATATATAGACAGAGAGTTGTTGCTATCTGATTAAGGGCCCTTAAGCTAGTAATCAGAGTAAGAAGCCAGTCGTATTCAAGACGGCCCACATTTTACAGGTCCTCATCCCGGAGGGTGGATCGAGAAGGGGCTGCACTGGCCTTACACACGAAGGCCCAAAGCCCCAACCCCCTGAATACAAAACCCCTGTAAACCCCAATTTCGTTAAATCCCTCTAAACCTATCAATCTGTAAACCCTTAAACCGTTGAGTTTCGGTCTCCTGCAGCGCCCCAGAGACCAGCTTGAATCTGTGCAAGCCCTCCATGTCCTACGACTTCAACTGTACGAATGCTAACCCACCCTGGGGTCTATAGTCATCTATGAAAAGTACCGACTTCGGTCTATTTGGTCTTTGCATTCCAACAGCATCATATGAGCAAAACCGCAGGCTCATGCTTCAGTCCTAGACTCTGAAATTTCCTATGATTCTTCCAGGGTCTCATGTGGTGCTTAAACCAATACACTAACGAGAAGATGACAAGCCGTATCCCTAAACCCTAGACCATAAACCGTAGCATGCCTTCCGCCTTGCTGCGGAGTAATATAAGAGCTTTAATCATTAGAATAGGGTCCTGGGTCACATGCTACTATACGATAAATATGCTGAGGGACACCGGAATTCGGTAATTAATTACCTGTAGTCTCCATTGTAGTTCCTTTTTTTGGCTTAACCAATTATGTATTAAGATTTTATAAGGCATCCCCCAAAAGGAACTACAATTGAGACTATAGGTAAGCCTTTATACTAACTGAAAGCAAGTTGGGCTCGGGACCCCATCATCTGCTTCAGCCAATCCCATCTGAAGCTCTGGATGTCTTTGGCCACCTGCACCATGGGTTTAGGGTTTAGGGTTCTGGGTCGTTTAGGCTGTACTGTTTAGGGCCTAACGGGTGTGGGTTAGTTTAGAGTTCAATGGGGGTCGGGGTTGTTCCTGGTCCCCGCTGAACCCTGTGGCCAAAACTCCGCATACATCGACGAAAACAACTCTCATTGTCTCATTCCCTGAGGTCTGAAGCCAAAACTCTACACAAGTAAACGGGCTGGGGCCGCGATCTTTGTGACCCACGTTCCCTTGGAAACTTGGAGCTTCACTGGACTGGGCTTCGAAGTAGCCAGGGGCTGTACTCTGGGAGGACGTGACTCCATCCAGTGGACATGGCGTCTGTGATAGCTACCCAGAGAGCCCAATACCCGTTAATTGAGGAATATACCTTAAATTATATAGCCCTTAATATTATGATTTAAGGTATATTCCTTAGTTAAAGGGTATTGGGCTCTCTGCGTACCCATATAAACATCTCGCATGTCGCTACATGCCCCTTGTAGTATAGCTATACCCTAAACCCTAAACCCTAAACCCTAAACCCTATCGACCTTAAAACCCTATAGATGACTGGCTGGGAGTCTGGAGCCGGCTTCCCTCTAGGGTGGAACCCATGGGCCCCTAGTATGGG